CACCTAACCAAAACTAGTAAGTCCATACAAGTAACCCCAGAATACACAATACAAGTAATACCTATAAGTAACACCCTGACTAGAACCAGTAACACCCTAAAAGTAACCCCAGAATACAAGTAGCCTACAAGTAACACTCTACCAGTAATCCCTGCCGCACCATGTGTTACTTGTAGAGCTGTCAATTCGGGTAAACGGGTCGGGTCAACTCGAGTTGGTTCAATACGGGTTAATGTCGTAACCTAAACGGGTCGGGTTCGAGGTGGGTCATGCTTGAGTCGGGTCACGTCGGATCATACATCTTACCGGGTTTGGATCGGGTTTGGGTCGGTTAATAAAAAATCGGGTTACATTCGGGTCGGGTGAATAATAGGTCAGGTTAAATTCGGTTTTTTTACGAGTTAAAACAAGTTATGGTCGTTCTCGGGTATGAGTCGGGTTCGATTCAAGTCAATTATTTGCGGGTTATAATCAGGTCGGTTCATTCTCGGGTTCGAGTTGGGTTCGGTTCAAGTCAATAATTTGCGGGTTATAAACAAGTCGGGTCATTCTCGGTTTCATGTCAGGTTCGATTTAAGTCAATAATTTACAAGTTATAATCAGGTCGGGCATTTCCAATCTGGTCATTCTCGGGTTCGAGTTGGGTTCGGTTCAAGTCAATAATTTGCGGGTTATAAACAAGTCGGGTCATTCTCGGTTTCATGTCAGGTTCGATTTAAGTCAATAATTTACAAGTTATAATCAGGTCGGGCATTTCCAATCTGGTCATTCTCGGGTTCAAGTCGGCAAGTCAATAATTTGCGGGCTATAACCATGTCGGGTCATTATCGGGTTGAATTTTGGGTCGGGTTAGTAATAGGTCAGGTAAAATTTGGGTCGTGTCAATAACAAGTCAAGTTGAATTTGGGTCGGGTCAATAACCAGTCGGGTTGATTTTGGGTTGGGTTTGTAACAGGTCGAGTTGAATTTCGAGTCGGGTTAGTAACATGTCGGATTAAATTCAGGTCGGGTAGGAACAGGTCGGGTTGAATTTAGGTCGGGTAAAATTCGGGTTTTGACGGGTTAAAACGGGTTTGGGTCAATTTCAGTTCAGGTCGGGTTCGGTTCAGGTCAATAATTTACGGGTTACAGTTGGGTCGGGTCATCTCTAGGTCGGTTCATGTTCGGGTTCGGGTCTCAAATACTCTGGTAAACTCGGGTCTAGGGCTGGTTTCAGTTCGGGTCACCATTTTTTCGGGTTCAGACGGGTCGATTAATAATCGGATTTGGGTCGGGTCAGCTTTTGACAACTTTAGTTACTTGTAGGTGTTACTTGTATTTTGAGGTTACTTATATAGGTTACTTATAGGTGTTACTTGTATTCTGAGTAACCCTTACAAATAACCCCAGACCAAACCCACATACCAAACCAGTAACATCTGACCAAAACCAGTATGACCATACAAGTAACCCCAAAATACAAGTAACACCTACAAGTAGGGATGGAAATGGATCGGGTGGAGCTCCACCCGCATCTATCCGTTTTACCCGATCCATCCGTCACCCGCATAATACATCACCCGAAATCTATCCATCCACCATCCGCGGGTGAAACGGATGGGCCGGGTGGTAAACGGGTGGGTGAATAAAAATTAATTTTATATAAAAAAAACTTGAGAAAACTATTTTGATCCTTTAATATTAAAATAATTGTGATATGTCAAATATTAATATAAAAAATAAAATATAATCGTACCATACAACTTCTAATATGCAAATATTATATATGTATCAGATATTTATATATTTTTTTTAAATAAGAATATTTATAATACTAAACGGATGGATAGATGGGTGACGGATGGGATTAACCACCACCCGAATCCGACCCGATCCATCACCCGATTCACCCGTCACCCGCCTCTCATCCATATAAACCGGGTTTTTCACCCGTTTAATAAAGCGGATGGACCGGGTGGTCGGATCATCCGTTGGATATTTCCACCCTTACCTACAAGTAACACCCTGACCAAAACCAATAACACCCTACAGGTAACCCCTGCGACACCATGTGGTCAGCTACATACAAAAAATTGTATTTAATATAGTTGAGAGTCTTGAGACAACATTAAGTATTGTTGGTAGTGTGGATGATGTGGCATATTGAAGAATTGAGTAATGACGTGGCGTAATAAAGAGTTGAGTGAGTGACATGACATACTGAGGGGGTCTACGTGGATTAGAGACTTTTTAGGAGCGCCTTTTAATATATTAGTATCGATAGATGACTACTTCCATGATTTTAGTTTAATTGCAATAATTTGACTTTTGTCATATGTATAGTTTATTACTCATACTACCTCCGTTTCATATTATTTGCAACGATTAGACATTTTTTCTCTCAACTTTATGTCAAATCGTTGCAAATAATTTAAAACGGAGGTAGTGTATAATGTCAAATTTTATCATGTAAAGTATCGTTAAATTAATGTTATTGCTTATTTTCATAATTAATATCGACTTTATATAAGTTAATTAATATTTTAGTTACATATATATATCAACGATTAAGGGTATTTAATTTTATCTTATTGTATCTTATTCCAGACAAAATAAGTTTACACAAGATAAGTTCAAACCAAATGAATAGAAAAAAATAAGCTATGACAAAATAAGTTTAAATAAAAGAAGTTCAAACAAAACTTTCAGAAAATTTCTGACAATGTATACTTCGTATTATTTTAGATAAGTTCAAACAAATCCAAAATATTATAGGTTCACACAAATTCATATACAAGTATGAAAATATAAGGCTATGTCCATTCTCTTCCACTTATATTTGCTTTTTTTTCACCAAATTGATGGATTTTTTTAAAGTATCTTTGCAGAACTGAAACTATTTATACTGAAATTATATTATTTTTACCGATTCTCTGTTAGATTTGTTTTTAACGTTATTCTTGATTTTTATTGATTAAAACTTATTAATTTTCACTTAAAGTTGTTTTCACTAAATTAAAATTAATTAACTGAACTTTGATTAATTAGTTTTAATAAATAATACTCATAAGGTGAAGAGAATATGGCCTAAATTCAGATAAGACACTATGAAGTACTCCGAATAAGTTTTGATAACATAATTTTAGAGAAAAATCTGATGAATTAAACATAGCCTAAATTTGTGTAATGGGCTATAGTACCCTAATTAAAATATTGCAAATATTCTAACACAAAAGGAAGTAAAGAAAAATCTGATGAATTAAACGTAGCCTAAATTTGTGTGATGGGCTATAGTACCCTAGTTAAAATATTGCAAATATTCTAACACAAAAGGAAGTAAAGGTTCTAATTAAGAACATAAAATCCAACTGACTAAATTAAAGCTTATTGTTTAGGTTAGCATTTATTAATTTAACTAGTGCACAATGTTTCGTTTACAACTTAATTAAAAAGTAGTGGATAAAGCGGTACATATGTCAAAGTAGCTCTAGCATATACCATATACGGTGTAAGGTCCTGTTCTATTCACCTTAAAAAAATAATATTAAGTAAAAATAATTTCAGTTCAGTAAAAATAATTTTAGTTCAGTAAAATTAATTTCAGTTCAGTAAAAATAATTTCAGTTCAGTAAAAATAAGTTCAGTTCAGTAAAATTCAATTTTCTTAAAGAAGAATTATAATAGAAAATCAGTAAAAATAATTTCAGTTAACTAAAAATAATTTAAGTTCAGTAAAAATAATTTAAGTTCAGTAAAAATAATTTCAGTTCAGCAAAATTAAGGTGAAGAGAACAGGAAGTCAGATAAGAGAAATTCCTCAAATAACTCAAATAATTTTCATAAGGTTTAATTGTAGATGCATATACATGATAAATATGAGGTGGGAAACGATGTCACATGTCTTAATACAAGCTAGTAATGCATACAACATATTCTTTATTAGAGTTTGAATTTCACCATATATATATACTTTTTTTTTTCTCTTCTTTTTTCTATTGTTGTGATTACTTTTTTTTTTTGGAAGAATATTGTTGAGATTACTTCATTACCCAATAGTGGGAATCAATTCAATGTTATCACTTTATAATACTTTATCTCTCTTTATTCCATTTCCTTTGTAAATAGGGCTTCTTAATGACTATTTTTCTTACCTTATTATAAAAAATTACAAGTGTGACAATGTTGTGTGCTAAATTGAATTTGTCAGACATAATAATATGTATATATTATTTGTACACATTAGCCTTGTAATATATTAGGGTATTGTGTATAAATCCTAGTATGCAAATATGCGATGCATATATAGATTATATACTAATATTGCTGAATAGAAGCCTCCAAGGAGAATTATCTTATCTTACAGAATTAGTTTGTAAATAAAATGATATGTGTATTAAGACATGGAGGTAGTATTTGAAGTCAAGAGATAAGATATTATTTAGTTTGATGCCACATTACTGATTTTTCTCAAGTATATATGAAGATACAGACTACTGCACTCAATATACACTTTTAAATACATTACGAAAGTACATATACCTTTTTTTTTCTAAATAAATTCTTTGTATGATAACTAATTTAATTCAATCATAAATAAGCACCATTTCGATTGAAGTGTTATTATCGTAAAGTAAGTTTTTAATACATGTCAAATTAAAGAAATAGCTAATTTGTTTCTTTAATTGAAAGTGATTCCAATATATAGATATATATTTATTTTTTTTAAAAAAAAAACATATTATGGCAGGATAGTTAACAATGAAAGTCCCTTTTAATTTATTTAATTGCTTGCACTTTAGATACATACAAGCTAAATCATAATAAACCATTCTTAATGCGTATTGTTAGATAGATGCATGTGTAAAGCTTTTGACTTAGCTTCAAATACTCTATGTTATATTTGACCCGATATCATAGGAATATACTACTTGTATTAATTAAGTCATGCAACATTCACGGCCGTATACATCTATAAAAGCACTTGTTTTGTTTAGTATTTGGATATAACTCAACAAATTCAACCCTCCCATACTATAGCAATGGCTCCATCCAAGATCTTTTATCTCGGGTGCTTAGTTTTGGTGTTGGCCATCGCGGTAGAGGCAGCAAGTACTCCTCCAGGAATTGCTAAAAATCCTTCAAGAGCATCATGTAACAAAAAAGAGTACAAGATGTGCTATAACCTAGAGCATGTTTGCCCTAAATTTTGTCCTGATAGTTGTGAAGTTGATTGTGCATCTTGCAAGCCTATTTGTTCTTCTACTCCATCAAGTGATGAGCATAGATCATCTTCTGGATCATCATCTTCTTCATCATCTTCATCCTCATCCTCATCATCATCTGCATCTTCGGCTGCAGCTGCTGCTGCTGCCGCCGCTGCATCATCATCAGCCTCTTCATCAGCTTCCTCTGCTGCTTCATCTGCCTCTTCATCAGCTTCCTCTGCTGCCTCATCAGCTGCCGGAGGATCCTCTTCATCTTCTTCCTCCCCCTCATCATCAGGAGGATCACCACAAAACTCTCATCATTCGTCCTCTCACAATTCATCATCTACCCCATCAAACTATTACCCAACACCTTCAACACCATCTCCTAAGCCATCAACCCCACCTACTCCAAAACCATCAACTCCAACAAAACCATCTCCTTCTACCCCTAATACTCCAACTACTCCTTCAACACCTTCATCTCTTCCTACTTCTAATGTCGACTCTAGAAAGAGAGCTAAGTGTAGAAACAAGAACTATGGACAATGTTATAATCAAGTACATGTCTGCCCAGCTAACTGCCCTACTTCATGTCAAGTTGATTGTGTCACTTGCAAGCCCGTTTGTAGTAAGTCTTACTTTTTATATACATTTTACTAAAATTGTTACACTTAACTTTACGTACCTAGCCTTTTGCGATAACATTTTAATCTTTGAGTAAATATTGTCACTCTTACAAACTACGAATTTTTATCACACTAGGTCCTTCTTTTGAAGTGTATCATCGGTGTAAAAGTAAAATATCAAAATGTTTTAATTTTCAGTGATACATACTTCGTAATTTATAATATATATTATAAATCATCAAGGTTAATGTGCATTAAAAACTGTGAAAAAAATGACAATTTATTTTTAGTAAAATGAAGATAGTATTGCTTGTAGTAATTTGGTAAATACATATTGGCACAATTAACACAAAATTTTAAATTAAAACTCATATATAATGTTACATACATTACTATTGTCCTTAATTAGTATCAAATATCAAATATTAAATTAGTTTTCAATTGAGAATTCAAGTTTAATTAGAATGGCCACTAATTCTTTGGTTTTCTATGTTATAGATTGTGATTATCCAGGAGCAGTATGTCAAGACCCTCGATTCATAGGAGGAGATGGTATCACCTTCTACTTCCACGGCAAGAAGGATCAACAATTTTGCCTTGTGAGCGACCCCAACCTCCACATCAACGCACACTTCATAGGAAAAAGAAATGAAAACATGGGTCGCGATTTTACTTGGGTTCAATCCATTGGAATCATGTTTGATAACCACCGTCTCTTCTTAGGTGCAAGGAAAACCTCTACATGGGACGATGCCATTGACCGCCTTTCATTAGACTTTGATGGAGAACAAATATTCCTAGAAGAAACCCTAGGGTCTCAATGGTCATCCACTTCTATGCCACAAGTTACAATAACTAGGGCAAGTGAAACAAATGACATTGTCGTCGAAATCCAAGGTAAACTCAAGATCACGGCTAAGGTTGTACCTATTACCGATGAAGAGTCTAGGGTACACAACTATGGAATTACTAACGAGGATCGGTTTGCTCATCTTGATCTCGGGTTTAAGTTTTACTCTTTGACCGGAAAGGTTGATGGTGTTCTAGGAAAAACTTATAGGGATGATTATGTGAGCCGAGTGAATATGAGAGCATCCATGCCGGTTATGGGAGGCGAAAGAGAGTTCGCAAGTAGTAGCATTTTTGCCACGGATTGTTTGGCTTCGAGGTTCGTTGGTAGTCAAGAAGAGACTTCATTGGAGACCATGGATCTTGCTAGCATGAATTGTGCTAGTGGGATGAATGGGCGTGGTGTAGTTTGCAAGAGGTAATTATTAACTTAAAATGTATTCATTTCATGAATATTTATAAGTAAAACTTTTATTTACTTATACAAATCAATAAAATTTATACACAAGGTTGAAAGCCTTAAAGATTATTCAATTTTTTATATGTATTTTTGTATTATTTGTAATAAGAATCTTCAATTTGCATTGTAAGATGGCTATACAAGTATAATGAAACACTATTTTTAAGTTTTACCTTGATGACTCTTCTAATCCTTTTTAATTGTCTTTTGTGTATTTTTTCGCAATTTTAATGCACACATATTTAAACATCAATATGCATCTTTAACTATTATATGCATTACATGTAATGTTTCTTAAAAAAAATGATAAATCTAACAAGATCTCATATATAGTACTCATAAATTTTTTTCTTATATTTATAAAAGAATCTGCTGGATTGTAACTCTACTTGATCAAATTGAAGATTTCAACTTAAACAAAGATGACTATGTATGTTGTTTGTAGATCTTGACAATTAAAAGCATTAATCAACAATTTATTTCTCAAGATAATGCATGTCATCCACGATGAGTTCTTAGATCGAGGTGATAAACAAATCATATAAAAAGACTTAAAACATGTCAATTATAATCCGCAATTATAATGGATATACAACAATTATGATACACACAAAGTTGACATGTTTGTGTGTTGACAGGGTAAAGTCGTATCCCCTAATCAAAAGTAAATACCTAAATCCTCTAACTAAACTAGATAGGGAAGTAGGGTCGATCTCCACAGGGAAACAAATCTTTTTACTCCTAATTAATTATTATAATCTAAATTATCTAAGTAACCAATATTTATGTTTGAGTATGAAACTAAACTACAAAGAATAGGAATAGGGAGAAAACAATATATAAAAGGATTTAGGGCATAGGTTCACCAATAAATAATACTCTAGGGTAAAACATAGTAATCAATCATTGACATTGCATAAATAACATGATTAACAGGCTCTTGCAATTTACTAGATCTAAGTTCTTATTGAAAATAGCCTTTAATATCAAATTAACATCTACTCGATTCATCAATTTAATATTGCTATACTTTTACAAGCCGCAATTGTAAAACATTAAAACAATTCAATAGGAAATTATCATGCAATACCAATAATCAATAATAGTCACTCATCAATGCATCAATTAACCAGATTGTAAAGGGCTCTCGCTACGTATTATAATCACACAATTAATTTACCGGTATTAAATCTCATCTCTCGAATCTTGACTTAACCATTTATAAATTAACTTGCCTATTGAAACTAGACCTAAACATTAATTCTCATCTCTCGATTCTTGAATCAATATTGTCAAACTCATGCATAAAAGATAGGCCTAATCTAGTCACAGAGCATTAAATCAATCAATAGGAAATTAATCTAGCATTGATAATCAACAACAATAATTTACCCCTTCATATTATTTATTCCCCTAGAAATAAAACTACTCACAAATCATCATGACTAAACTAATCAAATAAATAGATAAAAGCATAATCAAGGGAGTAAATAAAATAACTGAAATTAAAGGGGAAGAAATTGTTACCAAAAAGTAATCTGGAATTAATGGAAGAATTAAGGAAAAAAGTTTAGAGAAAGAATTCTAAGAGAATAATTAAGAGAGTAAAGAAAGTCTAAGGAGAAGAAGAAGAGATAGAGATACTAAAATCGTATTACGAAGGAGTATTTATACTCCGTACAAAATCCTAAATTAAAACAAATTAAAACTACGTTAAACATCTCCTAAGAAATACACGCACCCGATCGGGCGAGGCACCGCCCGATCGGGCGCGCCTTCGGGCGCCAGCCTTTGCTTCTCTCGCCCGGCCGGGCGCGCCTCCGGGTGCCAGCCTTTTCGGCCGGGCGGCTCTCTTGGGCCACTATTTGGACTACGATTGGGCTTCAATTCTTCGGGCCAATCTGGGTTTCCTCTTTGGGTCTTGAGTAGTCGGTCCAAATGCCCCGATATCACCTATACCGAGCCCTTAATCACCGGTTCGATGGCTCTAACCGGCCCTGGGCTATAAAATCTGGTCGTGTTTCTCCAATGCTCGTGATTGCTCCAAAATATCTTGGGAAAATACTCCAAAAGCATAAATCCCTGCAAAAGTCAACCAAATCTACGAAAACACTAGAAAACCCCAATTAGTAATAAAAGTGGCTCTAAAGAGCCAAAAACACTATTAATTATAACCAAGGGACGGGGGTGAAATACTATATAAAATAGACACATCAAACTCCCCCAAGCCAAACCTTTGCTTGTCCCTAAGCAAAGATCTCATCAATGAATCAATAAATATAATTCACCCCAAAAAGTAAAAATCAAGCACAAACGATTCATGATAAATCAAATAAACATGCTTCAGAGTCAACCAATCAAATCCATCTAATTACCAATCTTCCCTAACAATTGCCAAACAGAGCAAACCACAAGAGCATATAGAATTCAAGACTAGTGCTCACGCACTCAACTCTCATTTTCATGGCGAGTAAAAGATGTAGTCGATCACTCTCCATCCAACCCCTTTATGTGAACAATGCCCTCCCAACTCACACTCTCGTGTGTATAAAAACAATATACGCTCGATACTACTAGTCGACTCGAAATATGTCAAATCATAACTTGCATTGATAAACAACACTTTCACATTCATACAACTCTATGCACAAAGGTCAGAAGGTCTTTAAAGCTTGTAATGTAAGGCTAGGGTAAAGGGTAGGAATCATTTGGGAACAAGTGAGAGTAAAGCTATGCTTAAGGGAGCAAATCCTAATAAAGCCCATGATCAAAATAAATAGTGATCATACATCTCCTACATAACCAACTCTAACATCAACCAAATATACTCCAATCATAATAAATAGACCCAACTCTTACAATTTCACTCATAAAATATAATAATGAAGAAGTAGAGTGAATAAACAAACTTTATTTTCAAAACTTGAATTTTTTTCCATTGAGGCTCTATTTTTTTTCTTTTGATCAACCTCCAACTAGAACACTTGAACATTTTTTCCTTTTCGAAGTTCACTTATTTTTCATATTTTTTTCTTTGAACTTTTTTTTTCATAATATCATGCTTTATTTTTTTCAAGAAAATATAACTCTCAAACGCATCAAAAATAAACATGAATAACAACAAAACAACTTCTCAAAGTCCCACCCAAGTTGTGCAAATAATAATCACACTACAAACTCTCTCACCTCACTCACTAATAGTTCCCCCAAGCCAAGCTTGGGACTAGTAACCAATGGGGCAAAATAGGCTTGTAATGTGGCTAACAAACAACAAAAAGTCAAGGCAACAACATGGGTAGCAAGAAGGGAACAAATGTATCTACAATCATCTGGAGGCTACCTAAAAGAACAAATGTCTTCGTCCTCCACAATGTGCATAATAATGAATCATATAAATATTACTAATAATTGCAAACCAATACTCAAATTCATTGACATACCAGGAATTATGGAACTATCACACATTCCTTACCAAATCAACTAGTCAAGCACTATATTCACAAGTAGTTGGACAAAATTGACACATGTTAAAGTTTCAGGCAATCAAACATCAAATCATGTTCAACTAATCCACAATGCCTATCATCAAATACCAAGAATCAAAACAATTTTCTCAAGTAAGGGGCATAGGGAAGCATAATTTATAATTCATTGGAACAAAACTAACCTAAGAAAGTAATAAAATCTATACTAATAAAATCTACGAAAATCTACGAAAGAGAAGAGAGAGAGTGAAAGATGTACCATACGAACACGAGAACCTCCCCCCAAGCTAAATCAGACAATGTCCTCATTGTCTTAAAGGGAAGCTAGTAGTCAAGGTGAATACTCTTCATCATCACCGCATCAATGTCACCAAAGCCTCGAGGATTGCAATGCATCTCTTTGGAACAAAATTGGGCAAGAAAGAAACAAAGTGTTAGTGGGAAAAAAGTTCAAATTTGAGTCAGGTGCACTATTCTGATCATAACTTTTGATGTATAAATGATAATACAGTGATTCCAATTGAATTGGAGACTAGACTTGAAGAGCTTTCCAACGACAGGTCACACGCAAAAATCGAATAAGAAACGCAACAGTTATGGCCTGTCAAAGTTGACGTAGTTTGCTGACGCGTACGCGCGCCCGATCGGGCGAGCTCTGCCTGATCGGGCCCGTGCTACTGATTTGACGGGGAAGCTTGCTGCTGCTAATTGCCCCGGGATTCCTTTAGCCCTTCGATCTTTTCTCAACTTTTCTAGTATCTCTGCACAAAATCACACTCCCACAAATATAAGATATACTCTCCTCTACCTCTCTAAAACAAAACAAAAAGAAAACACACAAACAAATAAAAAAAACTAAATAAAAAGCAACAAAATACGGGTTGCCTCCCGCAAAGCGCTAGTTTATCAAGGTCCCGCTCGACCATACTCCTTCTCTCAATCGAAAGAATTCAATGCCTTGAGTAACTTACCAAACGCTCCTGCAAACATTTCATTAAGCACTATATAGGGCTTAATAGCAAGCACATTATTTATCCCTACAAAGAAAAAGTTAGGAGCACATAAACAGAACTCAAGGTAGAAAGAAAAATCAAAAGAGGGAGATGAAAATACACCACAACCTTCTACTTCCTCCGCTAAAAATTTAGAATTAATAGAACGAACATGGAGGTAGTCATTGTCTTTATCATCCAATAATGACTTTAAAATTTTACCCTAACAAAAAACCTTATCATCAACAAAGGAATTATCAACCACCGTTTCTACAACTAATGATTTTTCAATCACCGATTCGTCAACCAATGATTTTTCAACCACAAATTCTATAACCGATGATTCTTCATCCTCAATAACATTCATATTATTATAATGTCCATAGACTTTTTCATCAAGAGCCTTCCAATAACTTTCATTAGCAACTAATCGTTTCCGAATATGATCATATGTATATGGAAAGACTCTAAAATCATCCGGAGCACGCACAAAAAACTCACTATAAGGGCATTCAGGATTTTCATGACAAAGACGTTGACAACTACAGTAGTTAGGTGCTGCATAAAAATTATATAATTCTTGTAGTGACATAAGCATGGATATTTTCAACTCATAAAAAAAAATAAAAAATAAATAAAATAAAATAAATAAAATAAAATTAAAAAAATAAA